TATAGGGAAAATATTACATCAGCAATTATTTTATTACCCTTTAAATTGATTTCTGGAGATTATCCAAGGTGCTTCATGACCCATAATTGGGTCCCAAACTCAACTTTGGGAACCAAAGTGCGCTGGTTCCCAAACTTTTCAGCTTTTGGCCCACAAAATAACAGTAGCAGAGACCTGTGACCCCCAACTATGTTTGGATGATAAACATTTGTATCAGGTCAACAAAACATAGTAACAATATTTTTTATACTACATTTATCCATTTTAAATATACTAAACTCACTCCTTTATAACAACTAAGGCAAAAATATAATTAATTCAGAAAATCTTTTCAGGACCCACCTTGATGTTTCGGGACCCCACTTTGGGTCCCGACCCCAACTTTGGGAAACACTGGTCTAACTCATTACACAGCTGGTCCTTTTATGTTGTTGAAATTTTTTTTTGAGGTTTTTAAGAGTTTTTGGAAACAGATAAAAAAGTGTGTGTATATATACACACCGTATATACTGTATATACCCCTCTCTGGTCATGTGGTGCCATCTCTCTGCAGTCCTCTGAATGGACCCAGTTCAACCACACTCAGATGGGGATGATGGACGTCATCACGTCTCTGGACCAGCTGGTGGACGAGTCGGACCCTGACGTCGACTTCCCCAACTCCTTCCACGCCTTCCAGACCGCCGAGGGCATCCGCCAAGAACACCCAGACAAAGGTGGTCTGCAGTGAGACGTCAAGTAAATCTTATGTAACGCTGATAAATCACCTTTTTATTTCTCTCGCACTCACATCAGACTGGTTCCAGCTGGTGGGCCTGATCCACGACGTCGGGAAGATCTTAGCTCTCTGGGATGAACCTCAGGCAAGAGACGGGTCGAACTCGTGTTTTGGATTTTAATGATTTCTCAGCGTTCCATGCTTTCTGAATGACTTCATAACCTGTAGTCTGTCCCAAATCAGTCGGTAAAGCTGTCTTGGGTCATATCCTTTTATTAGAGGTGCCGATGCAAGAGAACTGAAACATCCTCAAAGGTTTCATCCTGGATCTCACAGCTCAATCGTAAAGAACGAGCTATGAAGTTTTGTAGTGGCACGCTGAACAACGATGGCAACATTTGCAAAAAAAAAAAAAAAGCAAAAGCTCAAATGTGACCCATCACATTGAAACAAGGATTAAGTCTAAAAGTAGTACATGGAGAAATAGGCAAATATATTGTTTTGATTAAAACACTTAACAAAAATTACATTTTGTCAAAATATAACAAATAAATGCCATTATCAATGTTTCATTTGAAATTGACTGTGTGAAATATAACGATAAAAAATTTTTTGAAGTACTTTTTTGAGCAGTAGCAACAAAAAAAACTGATTTTGAGGAAAAAATGCTTTTAAATTTTGAGATTTTCCCTGTGAGCTAGCAATGTTTTGGTTTCTTTCCAACTGGGAAATGTCAATATTCAAATACTACTTGAGATTTCCTCTTCATAATGAAATGAAAATTTCTTCATAAAAAATTACAGAATTAGGATTCAGACCAAATAATAATGTGTTTTCATAACCAACAAGACAAATTAAGTCATATCTGGTTCATGATGATCCAGATATCAAAATGTAGCTTTTAAAGCCAGGAATCTGAAAATGTAATTAGGTCATTTTGACTAAATTTGACTTAATCCTCATTTTGATATGATGGGTCAGATATTCTTAGGATTTTGGTGAAAGAGATGAAATGACCAAGCTCTTTACACATTTTCATATCTTTTACACAACTGTGTTTTATGATTTTTACCTAATTTTAGGGATGTAGGAATTTTTTTGGTCATACAGTAATTCACCTGATGTGTCTTTACATTTCAGCTCACTTTACTCTTTAAAACAGGAAGTGAAGACTCTTCTTGCCATCTTATGGCCTATAATAAAGACTGGGGAGATATAAAAACTCACATAAGACCACAAAAGCCGTCTGTTGCTCATAGTTCAAGCATTTACTTTTTAAGTTGTATTTTGGTCTGCTTCATGGGCAGTCTTCAGAGTTTCTTCAGTAATCTGTGTGGGTGTCATATGCAAAAATGTGACTTAAAAAATGTTTTTACGCAAGAAAAGAAATGTTTGTCTATTTCATTGTAGTCACCACACGCTGAGACGAGAGCTCCTGCTAACAGAAGTCTGTGTTGTTGTTGCAGTGGGCTGTCGTGGGCGACACCTTCCCTGTAGGGTGCAAATTTCAAAACTCGATTGTTTTAAGAAACAGCACCTTCACGGACAGCCCTGACGAGAAAAACCCTGCATACAAGTACGCACTCCCACGTTAAAGAACCCCAACATTTATGATTTTGTAATTTCACGTGGATATTAGTTAAATCCAAAGCACAACTTCAGTGTTGATTTTCATAGACTGAGCAAATCTCCATATTTTTGATTTTTATATCAGAGTTTTACTGCAGATATTTCCAACCAATAGATGGAGAGGTTTTTTTTTTGGGCACCCAGGTAAAGAATTACAAAAGTCCAACCTAGAAGAGATAAAAGCATGGAGCAGTTTCCCTGCATCAGTTTAAAACAAGTTTCTCATTTTCGTGACAATGCCGTTTTCAGTGTTACATAAAACTGATTATCTTAAGAAGAAACGAGAGGGAAACTTCAGAGCAGAAGAGTCATAAACACCAACCTAATTATTCTCAGCTGTCATAAAGCCCGAACTAGTTTAACATACATAGTTTCTTATTTTTATTGACCTTCCAGCACTGAATATGGGATCTATGAACCAAACTGTGGCCTTGACAACGTCCTCATGTCCTGGGGTCATGACGGTAAGGAGACACCGTTACATTTAACCTGGATCCAACCAACTCGACCTTTAAAACCCTTCTGTATTATCCAAACTCTTTCAGAATACCTCTACAGAGTTATGAAGCACAACGACTGCTGCATCCCAGAGGAGGTGAAGAAAGCAGTAAATTTATGCTTTTTAAATAGTTTTTAGGGTTAAACAGAAACGAGTCATAATCTTTAGGGGTTTTCCTGCTTCTCTTCAGGGGCTCTACATGATCCGCTTCCATTCCTTCTACCCGTGGCACTCTCACGGAGACTACATGCACCTGTGCAACGACAAGGACCTGCAGATGCTGCCCTGGGTCAGAGAGTTCAAGTGAGTACCGTTGTCATCCTTCGTGTGCTTCCTCTGCACCGAGGCGTCGACCCAAGACGTAAACACTTCTACTTTTTCTGCAGTAAATTTGACCTGTACACGAAAACCACCGACCTGCCCGACGTGGACGTGCTGAAGCCGTACTACCAGTCCCTGATCGACAAATACTGTCCTGGAGTCCTGCAGTGGTGAAGCGGCAGAAATCAGCTATGATCACATGATGTAAATAATGATGATGTAATGTTTTATTGCAGCACTAAAGCTGGATTAAGCACTTCCTACGTATCATCACTCTTTTTTAAAGACTTATATGTGGCAAATAATTTAGAGACATAACGCATGTACAAGTGTCTTTTATTTCATTATTTTAAGAGGTTTAAAAGTGTATAAAAACTACATCTTCTGTGGTGTATGTAAAAGCATTTACATACATAAGGAAAAAGTGCTTTTTTTTGTTCTGTGTTGCCAATAAATTACAAAAAGTGGCCAAATAACATCAACTCATATATTTATTACCTTAGTGAGAAAACCTGAGCTTCATAATTTGATTTCATTTTCTGGTTTTATCCCTTTTTTTAAAGCAAAGTTTAGAAACAGACAAATGTGTTTGATTAAAACATGTCTGCTCCAGTGGAATAAAGAGGAATTAAAGATATGTATGTGGTAAAGTGCAGGTTATAATATGCAAAAAGAAAATGCTTCATGAGGAAACAGAAGTAAATAAAACAGCTTCTTTGGTATTTGGTGTCATTTAATGAAGGCAAACGGTGATCAGAGTCTCCAACATGATTACCTGCGGCTTTTATTTAAAACGTTCATCCAGTTTCTCATCGTTTTCTTCATCCTCGTCCTCATCCTCACCAATATTGTTTTTCTCGCTCTTCTCCGCCTCGTCTTCTGTGTTCGCTCCGTCCTCTTCGTCCTCCTCTTCTGTCTCGTGCTTTTCCTCGAGGTGGTCGGACGAGCAGACGTCGGCGCCGTCCGTGTGATCGCTCGTCTTCTCGGCGGAGGACGAGCTCCGTTCTGTGGGGTTATTTTTGGCGTGCAACCCCCGGAGCAGACAGAAGGTGGCGCTGCAAGCGAGGAGCGTCCATATTAGGGCGGGGGCGGGAACGCCTCGGACCTGAGAGCGCACCCACCGCACCGCCTGGGCAAGGGTGGTGTTGGAGATACGACGAGGGGAAGACTTGTCCTGCAGAAAAAAAAATATATAAGTATATAATATATATACGTATATATAAATAATAGTTTTCTGAGGTTAATGTTTGAATCTTTACTTTCTAATAAAAGGTCACAACCTGCTGTCCTTCATGAATAAAGTCACTCTTTGTTTACCTTTAGTCCATACTGGTTGAGCATGCCCTCCAGAAAACTGCTCCCCAGATGCACTACGGGATAGAACTCCTCATCATAGACCCTCCTCCACCAACGCTGCGGATACGATCTGCCAACAAAAATAAAATAAAATAAAAAATGTATTTTTTATGTTTGTATGCATGTAATACATTTTGGGAAAAAAAAAACAGACAGCAGTTCTTTTTAGCAAGATGAATGATTTCAGTCAAACAACTGCATAAAATCTGCAGGTCTTCATAGTAACAAACACATTATCTGGGTTTCTAAAAGCAGCACCAGTGGAGCAGTTTGTAAAGTAATACGTCTGAAATAAAGGTGAGCGGTGGTGTTTCAGAGCAGGAGGAGAAGCAGGCGAGCGCTGACCCGTCAGCCTTGAGTTCAGTAAACCAGTATCTGTAGCGGTGAGCTCGCAGGAAGGCAGGCGGCTGCTGCTGAAACGGATACTTGGACACGTCTGTCTGGATCAGCTCAATCACTGCAGAACAAAAAAAAAAGGAAACTTTAAGAGAAATGCTTGTTCCTTCTTGAATAAAAATCGGATACGCTTTACAGGGAATTCAACACGGAATCGTTTCAGGCACAGAGAACAGATTCTACTTCTAAAAGATTAAAACTACAGATCTAAAGAAGAAATAAAAAAATGGGTCTGAATTTGTAAAACGTTGCACACCGTCTCTTTTGCCTTGCAGCAGTCGGTGCATCAGACTGGTGAACCACGGAGCTTGGGTGTGAGGCCCCAGAGCGGCGAACCACATCTGCCAGTCCAGCCTGGGCTGATGAGGCGTCAGGACCGGAGGAGAGGCGCTCAGGTTCCCCGGCTTATACATGAACTCAATCTCCTGCAGAGGAACACGTTCTGTCAGAGAACGTCCAGCTTCTGTTTCGGCCTGTTTCAGCTTGTCTGCTCACCGTCCACGCGACCCCATCGCTGCTGCCCTCGATGACCACCTCCGGCCTCCCGCCCACCCCGGTCATCCTCCTGAACAGGCCGTACGAGTTGACCAGCTGGTAGCGGTCCACCGCCTCGTAGGCCTGACGCACTCCTGGCCACAACCTGGCGTTCGAGTCGAACTCGATGTAGGTGAATGGAACCTGATAAAAAGAGGAAAAACTACATGAACATGAGTGATGGTCGTTTTAACTGTGAAATCTGAACAGTGGTTTTCTGCTCATCCTTTTTGCATAGGGTTGTTACATTTTTTTTTACTTCCACATATTTACAGTATAGAGCAAACCATTCAGCTTGGACTTTTCATAATAGTACCTTTTAAAGTTCTTGAATATTTGACTTTATTTACACTTTTCCCCCCACAGAAATATATTAAAATATGCAGTACTTCTACATATAATTTTTGTCTTCTTAAGTGTCTTTTAGCTAATTGTGATTTTGCTACATTTAGCTATTAGCAACTTTTTTAGCTATATACAGTATACTTAGTACAAAAAGTAAGGAAAATTGTGTTTTGTAGATTATTTATTTGTAAAAACGCTTCTTGGCAATATATCTTATAGCTGCACCTGATTGGCAGCACCTGGATGAACCAGAAGCTCAAAACAAGTGTCAATAAAAACAAAATAAGCTGTTTGTCCAAGAAGATTTGTCAAATTTTTCATGTGAACAACCAACACACTCGGCTCTACTGCTCATCCCTCAAATGCATGTTCCTTACAAATGTGACACCATTTAAAAAGGGAAATAAACAGGCTTTCCAACTGTATATGACTTATTGCAAAGACGCATTGTTACAACAAAGAAATAATCTAACAAACACAAATTTCCTTACTTTTTATGCTAAGTTTATATGCATCATTTAGCTCAGAGTTACTGCCTTGCAGATTCGAGTTCACCTACAGTTTTATTATTTTTTTAGCTTCTGTTCTGCTTGTTTTAACAATTCACTTTCAGCTTCTCCAGTTTTTGTTTGATTCTGGACTCTCCGCCACCCACCAGACTGACAGCAAACATGGCAGCAGAGGCAGCGGCGAACACCGTCCACTGCATCATCCTCCCAAACCTCTTCCAGAAACCAGAAACACAAGCGCACCTGCACATAAAAACACATCACCAGGCGCGTTAACGCAACACCCAGGACGTACACCGAAAAACAAACAACGCACCATGTACCTGAACATGGACGTGACCATCTCCCAGGTGAGAGAGAGGACACCGATCCAGACGCAGGGGATGGTGACGCTCTTCAGAAACGAGTTGAACTGGTGGTAGGTGAAGGCTGCAAACACAAAACAGGTCATTTATAAAGCGTTTGAACTTTTTAAAAAAGATAGCTGGAACAAAGCCACAGGTGCACACGGACCTGTACGGGATGAGATGCTCTTCTTGGTCGTGTCCACCTGCAGATCGAAGCAGAGGATTGTTCCACAGATCAGGAGAGACCACACAAGCAGCTCCAACAGGTAACACAGCCACGACAGCCACCTGGAGTCTGACCAGAGCAGAGAGTTTGTTTTCTCTCTTTTTTTTTTGGTTTCAATTCTTTATTCATTTCATTAAAACAAAACAAACAGTTTTATATACAATAAAAAGAAAAACATAAAAAGAAAAAAATGAGAGAAAAAAACATATATATGTATATCAAAATCACTAATAAAATGAAAGGCAGCAGAGTGAAGAAGAAAATCTTATATCTGCCCCTTTTTCCCCCCAAGAATACATCTATATAACTAAAAATCTGTTATTAAAAAAACAAAAGACAAGAACATCTAACCCCTCTAGAACAAAAATTTATATAGATACACTTTATACTGTTTCGTGTTTCTTTAACAATCCAACTTTATCATTTTCTTAAATGTACATAATGATCCTGCATCCTTTATATCACTCCCCAAATTATTCCATAGTTTTATTCCTTGAATTAAAGGACACCGTTCTTTCAAACTAGTTCTGAATTTGGGTTTTACAAATATCTCTGTCCCTTTAAGGTTATAACAACTCTTTCTCTTAACAAAATTTACTTGGATGTTTAAAGGTAATGTGTTTTTGTGGGCCTTATACACAACCAGTAGAATATTATAATCAACCAAATCAAAGAACTTCTATATTTTCAATTTACAAAAATAATGAATTGGATGTTTTAAACGCTCACAGAGATCAGATAAGATATTTGTTGTAGTGTTACCCCTGTTCTCGTTGTTGCTCTCGTCTGTCTTGCGCAGCCAAAAGTTAACGTGCTGGTCATCCAGCAGAGACAGACAGAGGACCATCGTCAGCAGATTGAAGAAGTTGTAGTTCCCAGACATAATGATGAGAACTTGAAGAAGCACCTAATAGATGGGAAAACGAAATTAATAAAAACGTCTCGTGTTTTCCTTTTCAGCTGGTTAATTTGCTTCACGTGCTGAGGTTCGACTCACCTGCATGTAAAAAGCTCCGAGCCGCAGCCTGCGCAGCGGACTGAAGAAGAGAAAAGGTACGGGGATCTCTATAACAAAGGTGCCCACCACACTCAGCTTCTGCCACCAGACCGGCAGCTGGTGCGCAAACCAGGCCAGAGGCGTGGGGATGCACTGAGTCTCGTAGTGATACGTCACAGCTGTTCCGAGCAGGGGGGGGAAATGAGAAAAATTAGAGCAACAAATCGACCTAATCGAGTTCTGTTGAAATAAACTCCAGTGTAGCCTTTCAGCATCTACATCCTGTCTGAAAGGTGGAGGGGAAACACATAACTCTTCAAATTAAAAGCCTTTTTTTTTGTACCTGTGAGACCCCACCATGTGGGACATCGTGATGTAAGTTTCACCACACCGGAGGCAAACATCAGCCTGAAGAGCAGCCAGCGAATCAGCCAGAAGGTCACGCGATCGTGCTCACGGACCGCCCGGGACCCCCTGATTAATGTCAGCGGAGCAACAAGGATACAGAGGAACCCCGTCTCTAACAGCAGGTTGTCCCTGATATGAGAGGAAGAAAATGTGATACCAGACAGGTAAGTCAAAAGGTTAAAAGGAAAAGATGAGACTTGTTTGTAATGTTAGCAAAAAATCTCCTAAACTACTGGATGGATTTGAATGAAACTCTCACAGGATGTCGATCTACATCAGCACTGACCTGTTTTTAAAAACACATTATGTCATTTACAACTCTCATTTTAAAGGGATCCCTGATTAGTTGTAACATTAGACTTTATTTGATAAACATTTATTTTAACTGTAAAATAAAGACTGTAAAAATACTGTAGGATGTTCAGTTTTGTAAATTTTAAAAATATATTTTAACACGGAGTGAGCCATTTTATTTACACACAAAGCATTCTTTGTAAATGATGACGTGGATAGGTCCTCGGTGTGACTGAGCTATATCCACCCTGAAGGTTAATCTTGGACAATATCTGATGATCGACTCTTTTAAATGAAACCAGAGAGCGTTGACAGAGAGGAGAAGGTAGAAATGACTCAGCCTGCAACTGAAAATATAGATGGAGGACAACAGAGCTGCTTCATGGAAAAACCCCAGTTTAGCCTGTTAGCCTTCGTGCTAGATCCACTGCTATATTGCCTTATATGTATTAGCACTAGTGCGACAAACAAGCTAAGCTGAGGTCCTCCATCCATATTTTAAGTTGCAGCTGAGTCATTTTTGTGTTCCCCTCTCTGTCATGTGGATGGAGGACCTCAGTGACGAGAGGAGAATGTGTAGCGCTGAGCTAATACATATATATGGTGATAGCGTCAGGGCTAACGCTAAAGCTAACAGGCTAAGCTGAGGTGGTTCTTCCATGAAGCAGCTCTGTTGTCCTCCATCYATATTTTCAGTTCCAGGCTGAGTCATGTCTACCTTCTCCTCTCTGTCAACGCTCTCTGGTTTCATTTAAAAGAGTCGATCATCAGATATTGTCCAAGATTAACCTTCAGGGTGGATATAGCTCGCTCACTCCGACGACATATCCACATCATCATTTACCCAGAATGCTTTGCGTGTAAATAAAATGGCCCTGTCCGTGTAATATATTTTTAAACTTTTAGTTTAAAAATGATAAAAGCTGAACATCCTACAGTATTTTTAACAGTCTTTATTTTACAGTTAAAATATATGTTTATTAAATAAAGCCTAATGTTACAACTAATCATGGATCCCTTTAAGATTATCTTAGTTTAACACTCTGGCATAAATAGCAACAGGCAGCATATGTTGTTGTTTTTTTTTTCTCCAAGTAATGCTAGATCTTTAAAAATTACAGTGATGTCTGCAGTGCTGTTGCTTCAGACAAACACCACAACCATGATAAAATAGCATCCAAGTGTTTTGTAGAGACTGTGTGTTAATGACAACAATATATCTCAGCATAGAGTCCAAACACTCACCACTGGAAGTAGAGAAAAACCTGACCAACCTGTAACAGAAAAAAAACAGGTCAAAAGCAAGAAAGACAAGAAAAAAAAAATCTGTCATTCCAAACTCACTTGGTACAGGGAAAGATACAAGGCCCAGAGGCAGAAAAACACCAGGCTGTCTCTGAAAGCCTCCATCAGCACGGCAGCGAGGCTCAGCAAAGCCCCAACAAGACACAGCAGCTCCATGGTGGTCTGGGTGTCCAGGCCGAGCCGGGGTCCCAGCCACAGCAGCGTGGGGGAGGACAGCATCTGGTCCAGCAGAGGCTTCCCAGTGTACCGCAGCTGCCAGCGGGCAGGCAGCAGCCCGTCGTTCCCATACAGACCTGTTAGAAATCATTTTGGACATTTAAATTTCATGCGCAACAAACTGGATAAAGTTTTAAAGGTGCTCATAGAAAAGTTAAAAATCAGGCAGACACAATGCATAAAACAAGGCACAAAATCCACTCAATATTGTCTCATATTGATGGTTAATGCATCCGTAAATTAAAAATATGTTGGCAGAATTTGTGTGAAACCAACTGTTTACTTACACACGGGCTGAAGTGACAAAAAAGGTCAAACTTTAAACTAATCAGCTGTACTTGCTTCCCTCCACAGACTACAACCAATTTAAGTAGTCATTTGATTTGAACTCCCACGCGTTTTGTGGCAAATCCAACCTTTGTTTACATTGAGCGTGGACCCGCATTTCAGAACTGCATTCAATAATTCTGGAAAACTACTGGAGTAAACTCTTTCGAACTGCACCATTTGATATAGCTCAAGATAACCTTTTTTAAATATCTGACTCCATTACTTTTAAAAGCGCGCCTTTAAAAGCTACATTCAATCCTTCAAAATGAATTGACAAGCTTAAAAAAAAAAGGCGTGGGCAACATCCGTTTATTAGCCGATAAGAGCATGCTGCGTGTTGTGCTGCTCCTAGCTAGCAGTAAATTTCCAGACTGAGCTTCCAGTTCCACTGAGTTTACAGCTAACAAGCTAACAAAACACATCCTCGAGTTAGCAGGAGCAGCAGTGTTATTGTGATCCTCACCTGGTATCTGCACATACACAGAAACAAAAGCCGCCATGTAGATGGCCGCCATGCACCAGAGGAATATGCGCCGGGGCTTAATTATTTCCCCCATGTTTGTGACCGGGTTCTAGTCTATGGATATTCTTTAATACCGCTACGGCGCCACTCTCTTCCGAGGGAAGGAAGCTGAAAGCGGGATTCATTCGGGGAGACACGTAGCGACGAACATTTGGTAAGTTCCCACCAAAGGCCGCAAGATGGCGCCGCAGCTCCATTGAACGTCATGCTGCATTCAAGTTACGTAGGAAAAAGGGTTTAATCACTGTTCGCTGCTTATAACGAACACTTTTTACGAGTAGACACACGTAATTGTATTTTATCAGTCATTTCATAATACAATAGTTTGATATAATTATATTTTTATTTATTATAATTTTTTTAGAAATTGTTTTAAAATGAAGTTATCGAATTTTTTATGTTTTTGAACGCATCCTCGCTGATAGTGTTAGCACCCGGAAATGAAAAGCAAAATATAATTATAACCTCAACAAATCCTTTTTTTAAAAGCTACTTATGACTGCTTTTTCACTTTTGTAGCGGTTACTGTGCTCAAATACAGAACAGTTAATAATCACACACATTCTTGGCTTTTATTCTTTGGTTTCAGAATTCATGCTTTTTAAATTTTATATCTACCTGTGGTGTTTCCTCCGTAATAAAAAAGGTTAGAATAAATGTGACATATTTGGTTTGAGATGAATTTATTGTGCATTGTAACAGGCAAGCATACAGATTCATGGCAATGAAGTTTCTGCATGCTGCTAGTCAAACAGCAAAAAGCACTGAAATATATACATTCAAGTTTTAGACACAAATACAGACGGAAAAATGATCAACTACTGATCACAGATTAGAGTACCACTATATTTTAAACACATTGGCTCAAATCATACGTTTTCTGCACAGGGCAAAAGTAACGATTATTTTATTTTCTGCTACAAAAATACAAAAATCTGATTTAGGACATTTACATTTCATTTTCAGGCAGCATCAAGACTAGTAGATGCTTCTTTAGGGGCTGGAAATAGCAGCAGCAAGTCTTAACATGACAAAGCAACAGGAATGAAGCTAGACAAAAAGGAATTTGACAGAGTGGCGCTTAAGGAGGAGATTATCTTAGATCTGCTGATGGAGAGTTAGGTTCATTTAGATGCCAAACCTCATGATTTTATCAGGTCTCAGTCTATTTTATCAGAAATTAGCCCCCATTTGGCCTCTTTATGGGGCGCATCTGTGGTTGATATAAATTTAACAAAAACCATCATTTGTCTAAACATCAAAATAATTATGCCATGATTTTCTAACATTTCAAATAAAGCAAAGAATGATTTTTTAAAAATAAATTATCAGAACTAGAATATATCAATAGTTTCTCTATAAAGAAAGTTTTTACTTTACAAACATATTGCATGTTGTACATCAGACCTTTTCAGTTGTAACTTAACATACTACAAAATATTGAAATGAAAAAAAAAAAAAAAACTGAACCTGACAGTCTTTTGACACTAGGAAAAAAAGTTTCTGTATTTTAGCATTTTTATAAAAAATACTGACAGCAAATATCAATTGTCTACACGAACTTAGGCATAAGAAACTTGGACACCAGTAAACATTTTCAGAAAATCAGTTTTTACATCACAAGTTTGGATTCTTGCTTCTAAATGCCGCTCTCAAATTTAAATACTTGACTGATACTTTACACAGACCAGAGCGTAACACTGCAAGATAAACTGCTGCATCCCTTTTAGCACAGAAATTGAAATGAGATTTGTGAATCGCAGCTGGACAGGTTAGTTCAAGCAGTCTAACACGTAATCCAAACACAAAGGGACGGTCAATATGCTGCAGCTGTCGTAGACGGTTTTATACAAAAGAAAGAGGGTCCTTTGGCTACTTTTTATCTTTAAAAATTTGGCCTCTTAGAGCCACATCAGTGTCTCTTCCACCATTCAGAACCACTGGTCTCATATTAACACAAGCTGCAACAGATCTTTGGATGCTTTGCAGATCTTTAAGGCAAACGTTATCTCTGATATCATTTTGGATGGCTAGACTCAGGAGTTTCTCCACTTTGACAATGTTTTATTTTTTTTGTCACATTAAGATTGTTTCATTGTCATGTAGCCCCATCCGTTGAGCTACAGGTCTGTCCTGTGCTTGTCATCGAGGTCATCTGCTCCTGGTCCGTTTCCCTGACACACATAACTGCATCACCGCTCACGTTAATGAGACACTGAGCCTAAAAACAAACAGAGCATTGATTTAAATTAGAAAATAATAATTAGAAAATTGCAGCATTTTGAGTAAATAATGTACGTGTGTGCAGGTACCTGGTTCTTGTTTGGATTTTCCATTAAAACACAGTCTTTCATGCTGTAGGACACCACCGCATTGCCGCCCAGAGCTGCGACGTGGGCTCGGACCATCGCAAACACTTCCGCAATGAAGGAATGAAGGAAGCCGCTGACCCCGCCTTCCTGCAGAGCACCAACACGCTTCGCATTAAAACACAGCAGGCAGTAAATAAATAAATAATAATAATAAAAACGCAGCATGCTCCGTGTCGCTCGATCGGTACCTCCCGCAGTGACGTCGTCTCTCTGATGAAGAACATGTTGATGATGCCGAGGTACTTGATGATGCGCGTCCCGGGCAGGAAGGAGAGCGGCGTCATCTTCACCGTGGTCACCGAGCTGCCTCCGAACGAACGGCTGGAGCGCAGCGAGCGCGAGCGGACGTCGGTCAGCGGGCTGCAGTGCTCCAGAGACGAGACTGCAAATTTAGGCGGAAGTGCCGAAGGAGGCGTGGCCCAAGAAAAGACAAGAGTGGAGAAAGAAATTCAGACACCAGAAACCGTTTAAAAACTAGAGACAAAAAGCTGATATAAAATTAGCAGCACAGCCGGATGTTATTGCTGAATGCCGTGCAAAAAATGCACGAGTTAGTGTTTGCACAAGAGGAATAACGTAGACTTACAGGTGGCCACAAAACTGTCCATATGCATGAGAAATTCTGAGTTAAGACTCGAATTCTTTACTTTATCATTACATTTCTAAATGATGTATGATACTCCCATACAAAATTAAAATTTAGATTTTTGTTTTATAAATTGAAACTAATAAGGTTGAACACTTTTCTCCATCACTCTATTTAGTCCAAACAGGACTGGAGTCCTTCCAACACGTCTAAAGTTTTCTGTTGATCTCTTCACCTCTTTTGCTGTTTGTCTTCAATGATATCTCAGCGGAGTTTCCACTGCTCAGGTTATTCTCTGCAGACTGTTTTCTTCTTGAATTTAAATATAGTCTTTCGCATAATGAAGGCAAACACAAAAGCCATGCTTTTCTAAAAGAATGGCAGCCCTTTTTTTGTATGCTTCAAAGTTTGGGTGTGTCCTCTTTGGTCAAAAACCACAAAAATAAAAACTAAATTTACATCTTTAAGAGCAGCCAGTTTTGCTTAAATACACCAGGTTGGCCTCATACCTTGGATGATCTCATAGAGAAGGACCACATTTAGTCTGAGGAAAATATTTACAAGAGGTTAAAAAAATTGAAAAAGATAGAGCATTTGTATAAAAAAAATTGAATACCATAAAAGGTTATGATTGTAAAAAACTATTGTTTGAAATGGAAGAACAAAGAACTCCTCTTGTATCGAAACACTTTTGAGGTCACCTGTTGATGTGTTAAATGTAAAAAACGATACATGCAGCGGTGTTACATGTTCAGTGTAAAAGTAATCACTTGGAAAGCACGTGGTGGCATGCGACAGACACTTAGACGATGTCTGCAGACAGACGGACAGACCTGGGCACAGCTGTTTACAAGTGTGGAAATACAGTATTTGTAGTGAAGTACATGAGAGGGTAACTCTGCTGATTGGCGTCTGTGGATGTGGCTCAGGACATGGAGACGGACAGAGAGAGCTATGAGCTGAGCTGGGCACATGTACGACAAACCAGAGTGTGAAAGATGCTCCGTGGCGTTATGCAGAGTTACCTGGTGTAGTTTCATCCATCCGTCAAAACCAGGAACCTTCAGAGCCAAACACTTACACATACTGTGCACAGGACTGAAAATCAAACTAGCTCTTGTAGAGAACCCCCCCCCCTCCCCAAATCTACTGTGATTATAACAGACTGTGTTCGAAAACAGCTTTAGCATTCACACCTTTAATATGACAATCATGTCATGTTTTGTTAATTCAGTGATGCAGATGCGGTGCAAAGGTAAAGGAATTCTTGATGCCACATGCAGATCTACATGATTGCAAAGAGGATAATGCAAAAGAAGGTGTGTGCTTTCTGATTTGTCATCATTTCAGGCTCTTAAAGCAGCTGATTGTTATCCCTCTGCGTGTCAACTTTCACACTCTAGCTCAAAAAGCCAGTGCTCGATTTTACAACAACCCCCCACCCACCCCCGCTGGCATGCACTGAGGGGTGTGCGTGAGTGCAAGTCGGCGTGTGCGACACTGCTCGTGACAACCGTGTTCTGCATTTGTGGGTATGATCACCAGAGTGTGCTAGAGACTGTGTCCTCCTACTTGTCTTAACTGATCCTCGTCTTATGGTGTGAGCTTTCAGCCTAAGCAGCTCTAGCCAGGTGCTGCATCTGTCTGCAAAGGAACCGTAATCAACGGAGGCAGCTGGAGAAAACACACACACACACAGATCCACACGCAACCCACACCCGATAACAAACAAACAAACAAACGCAAAAACAAGAACAAGAAAAAAAAGAGAGAACAAACTCGGGACACAAAAAACAAACGAACAACAAAAACAAAAGAACAAAAACTGAATGAGGTTGGAGAGCAGTTCAAGATAACTGTTCGAGACAAAAAGAACGAAAAGTCAAAACAAGACAGTGTAGTAGTTTGGATGGCAGGGAGGTGGATAAAACAACAAGGTGTGGGCTTACCTCTGGTCGAAACACTGCTATTCTCTGGAACACCTGTTTCACACACACAAACATCATGAACTACTTCTAGATTTGGCAGAAAAACAGGATCGATCAGCATGAATCTTTCCCCACAAAGCTAACCCAGCTCGCTCTTTGGTTCTAAACGTCTAAGTGTTTCTGCACAGGAAAACCTTCATCCTCCATCTGGATAGGAAGCTGCGCTGAATCAAGAGCGTGACATCTACGATATCATCTACGACCACAGCAGAACTAAAAACAGCGCTACACGACGCGTCACCGTTAGTTTACCTGCTGAGTGAACCATAACCAGCTGACTTTGGAAGAGTTTTGCAGCTGGGGTGAATAAAGAGACTGTCCCTGAGGTGTTAGTGGAGGACATGGGCAATGCTTGTTAGTAAAGCAGGACGTAGGGGAGAGGGGTTTGAGTGATGAAGATGATGATAAAAAATAAAAACACGATTGAAGCATACCTGAAATTCTGGAAAACGGCTGAGAGCTGGTAGATGATGAGTCAGCGCACAACTCTAAAGGGAACTGCAGCTGCTCTTCAGTCTCACTGCCACCTGAAAACACAATAGTGAACCATCAAAAACACCCTTCTGATTTCTAAAAGTCACACATAATGGTTACCAAACAAACAATAATGCTCAGGGTAGCTTTAATGGAATATTTGATTTTTTTTTTCTTTTAATGTCACACAGGCTCATTTCTCACAACCTGTCAAAGGTAGGACTGAACTGATAATCTGCTTTAAAGCAATCTTTCACAATTCTGGGGGGATGCAACTTTAAGCAAACAAACTAGTGTCGAAGGCGATGCAAGGTTGAGACAATCAGAGTTAAAAGTGTGCAGCTATAAAACCAGGAAGAAGAAACAATCCACAAGCTAGCTTGGTTAATGCAACAGAACAATCAAGCAATTTTAAAGGGATCCACGATTAGTTGTAACATTAGACTTTATGTGATAAACATTTATTTTTACTGTAAAATAAAGACTGTAAAAATACTGTAGGCTGTTTAGTTTTGTAAATTTTTGAAAATACAACGCTCTCTGGTTTCATTTAAAAGACTCGATCATCAGATATTGTCTAAGATTAACCTTCAGGGTGGATATAGCTCCTAGCGGCCTCGCACCGATGACCTATCCACGTCATCATTTACCCAGAATGCTTTGCGTGTAAATAAAATGGCTCCGTCCGTGTAATATATTTTTTAAAATTTAGTTAAAAAATTTACAAAACTAAACAGCCTACAGTATTTTTAGTCTTTATTTTACAGTTAAAGTAAATGTTTATCAAATAAAGTCAAATGTTACAACTAATCGTGGATCCATTTAAAAATTATTTTAAGAAGAAAAAAACATCTCTATGCCATGTGTATCAGCTCATAAGTTGCTTTAAAATGTTATTTTGGTACTAGTCATTACAAACACATGGTGCATGTTTTTCTCTTTTAGTATGGCTTTAAAGACTTAACGTCAAAGCTTGTTTTTAGAGCAAAATAAAAGTAATAGAAAAAAAAAAGACTCAAGCAGGTGGACCTTTTGTGATGGATTTCTCAAGTGGCTTCTCCTGATTCTGGTCTTTGTCAAACGTCATGGCAACTGCGGTCACTGAGACCTAGCAGGGGGAAACACATATATAAATACTTCACCTGACAGGTCAACAAGTTTTTAGTTAACCAGGTTTGGCCTGAAACATCTAACCTGAACAAGCTCTTCTTCTGGCACTGCTACAGTGAAGTTGAGCTGACACAGGCAGCAGGGAATCATGGAGCGCAACTTGAAGTAAAAACTCTGAAAGAAACAGGAGAGGAAAACAGACTGACATTATAATTCAAGAAAAATAAACAAAGGCCAACGTATAGATGAACAGAGGCTGCTTACCTTTAGCAGATTCTCACAAAGGTCAGTGAATATCTTGTTTAAGCCTTGGTTAGTTAGATTGGTATTGTTCAGTCTAAGAACTCTGACTGATGTAAACATCTGTAACACATTAGGACAGTTTAAACTCACAAAATGGCCACAATATTGTCCATTAGTATTTATTAGTATGTTTAAACTGCAGTTGCACCTGTATTGCTGTAGTCCAGTTATAAATCCCAGGCATAGTCTCTGTGTTGCAGCTGTGGAAACCTGAAAAGAGAAATGAACACGGTTGAAGTTTTAAATGTCGGGGGTTCATTGAGCAGATAATATGATACAGGTAATATAGAAATGTGTGGAACTAACCTGAAGGTGGAGATGCATCAGTGAGGAGAGAGTGGATGTCCTCCACAGCGTCGGTGTCGTCGATCTGTGGGAAACGGAGCAAATAGTAACTGTTTTAATGGAAATAAGAGCAAACAGGTGCGTAGGTCTTTGCGTCTGCACACCTCTAAGACGAAGGCGTCCTTCTTGCCATGTGACAGATCGAGTTCTGAGAGTTCGTCCGAGCTCTCTGAGTGGGAGCGGAAAAGTCTGGATCGCTGCCTCGGTTCGGGGATCGGAGACCCGACCCCTTCCTCCGTCAGCTCCTGCAAGCAAAGAGACTAATGAAGCATCTGTCCAGACTCTACGGACGGTAAAATTACTGCATTAGTAGCACGCTCACACTCGCCCTGTGAAACTTTATTGATGCTGACACCCCTAGACTTTGGTGAGAATTGAACTGGGTTGAGTAGATGGTTATACTACAAATACATTAGAGATCTATGGTGTTAAGAACGGTTACAGCAAAGGTGGCCTAGCATTGTGATTAATTAAGTGAACAAAATCAGCCATGCTTTGCTGGGTCTCACTATCTGGCATGCTCAGTACCATGTTTGTGCCGCAGAGCACCTCTGGGTCCAGGGCAAATAATTTCTTTGATGATGAGAAAGAAAAAAAGAGGAGTAAATCCACCACTATCTCTAAATATTTATCATCTGTCAGTGGAAGACGTCACATAAATGAATGTACAGGATTTGTAATTTGTATGTATTTTTTGTTTAAAATAAAAGATGAATAAATGATTCAATTTTAAATACTTTGATATGTTGAAATGGTTATATTTTGAAGTTTCTTCCATGTCATCTACTTCAAACTAACAGGAGTTATGATTTTTCCCAAAGACAGGTTGGCTGTTACACTGTTGAATCTCTGCTTAACAATAAAAACCTAAAATAACAGAAAACCTTGTGTTCTGAAACCAAATATCTCACCGGAGGGTTTATTTGGTAGAGCTCTTTGTTTTTGGCGATGGTGTCGTTGATTCTTTTCTGGATAGTGGAGATATGCTGCTCGTTGTTCAGGTCGCCTGGAGTTTTCCCAGCAATCTGGATCCCTCCAGGAGCAGGAAGAGCCATCAGATATACTCCTGTGGCCGACTGAGAAAAAGACACATTTTTAATGGATTGGGATTGGATTGATCCCGTGTTGTTATTTTAAAATGTAAACCTACCGCCAGACCCAGAAGCATGTTTTCTCCTACGCTGATCTGTATGTGCAGACCGAACAGAGCGTTCATGCTCCTCAGCTTCAGTTTGTTCATCAGCTGAGTGTGCAGCTCATATTCCATGAAAGGAAGCAGGTTTGAGATGGCCGTTGCATTCACTTCTCCTTGAGCTTTCTTCTTCAGACGACACAGTCTGGAAGACAATAATCACTGACATTTAGGTTGGTGAATCCTTAAGACTTTGAATTTAAAGCATGTTTATTTTATTCAACTTGGTGGTTATTTGATCAGTAATGTTTTAAAAAAAACTCAGTTTTTGAAAATGATTCAAAAAGTATATTCTAAGGCAGCGGTTCCCAAACTTTTCAGCTTTTGAACCACAAAATACCAGCAGCAGAGACCTGAGACACAAGCTGTTGTTGGTTGATGAACATTGTTTTCACATCAAATAAACAAGAGCACAGTAACAATATTTATTACGCTATTTCTGTCCATTTTAAGTACACTAACTTTGTTTGGTTTTTTTTGTAGCAAAAAAAGGCAAAAAAGTATTGACAGATGTAATTTTTTGTGTAATTAATTCAGAAAATCTTTTCAGGACCCCACCTTGATCTTTCAGGACCCCACTGTGGGTCCCGACCCCAACTTTGGGAACCACTGTTCTAAGGTATTACCTGGCCTGAATGAGGCACCCCTTTCCTGTGACGGCTGCTTCTGGTGGCAAGTCAATAGTTGTGAAAAGCACATCAGGAACCTTTAAAAAATAATCCAAAAAGATGTTTTGTGTTTGACCAAAATACACTAAAAGACAACTATACCATAAACAAGTACAATACTTCTTCATGCATTATGCTACCTTCTGTCGTCTGCACTGGTAGCAATACGCGAGCTGAGCAGGAAATGGCATGTTGAGCTCATCGTATGGGATGTGGCAGAAGCCACAGGTTGGGGGTGACGGTTCCTCAAATCTGCCAAAGAAGCCAAACCACATAATCTCAGCCTCAGAAACAGCACCGCCTCTTATTCAAACACATACAAGAACTAAAATCAACCTGTGGTCAGTGCTTCCGAAGTCCAGGCATCCCTCGCGCATGTATCGAGGATTCAAGATGGCTGCTGTGCCCGAAGCTGACAGTATGCACACCTCTTCGCTGTGTCGAGGAAACACCAATTGATCAAAACAAAAATAGGGAAATATATGAGAAATTAAGTTTAAAATGGACACTTTACATTAGAACTGCAGTTTTTAACAAAAATCTTGTTTTTCTGATTTCACAATTTTCATGCCACATACCAGATGCTTGTGTTCTCACTGTACCCTACAACAGCATGGCATCCAAGAGCTTTGGCATGGGATTTGATTTCCTGGCGAATTTCCTCCCACCAGGCATCACGGGTCTCTGGTTCGTCTGCAAAATACAACGCTGTGAATTAAACAAATTTAAAGAAAGTTTCTCTATTCTGTACAAACTTATCGATACACTGGGATCTTGATATGAATAAGTCAGACTAAATAAAGAATGAATGAAGACTGCCCTCACTACTTTAAAAACACTCACTCCTATGACTTACAAAAAAAAAATACACCCAACAGTACTTTTTGGGTGGTGATTTGTGAGTTAAATGATGTATCAATTCAAAGCAAGCAAAAATAAAAAAAAATTGTCATTTTGTAAAACAAAGTGACACTGAGAACGATGTATGATAATTAAAGGATGACAAAGGCAATGGAAGAGATTAGATAAGGTCAAGAGTACCTAAAGTTGGAAATTCAAACATACATGTATTTTGTGGCTATGAAGGCACTGAAAGACAACATTCCAGCTGAAAAAGAAGTAAAACAGGGTGCCTGAAGTGTACAATTTCTTCCCCTTAGGTGTTACATTCAAAAAGATCAAGACTTAATCTTAGGTTTTAATAGTTTCATGAGGCTTTGCATCCAAACACCTCTGGTTTGGATCTAAATAATCTAAATGTTACACTTTAAGAAATTGACCTCGCTCATGTGTTTGGTGAATAAAGAGAACACGAAGGAACCTATAAGAATACTGAGCTGCACCCCATTACTCCCTAGGAAGGCAACATGCTGATGGAGCCCCCGAAAAGAAACTGAACGGTTCAGCGAGATGAGACAGAGGAAGAAACGAAGGGAAAAGAACGAGTGATCCAACTAAAGAGATGAAGGATGACTGATGGTCAGGCTTCAGGCCCGTAGCATGGGTTATTCTCAACCAGCAGCAGCAGCATGGCAGACAGGCACAGGCTCACCAACGTGCACGCTCATGGCCATGTGCACGTTCATGGCCAGAGAAGGGCCATATTCATTCACTAGAGTCCATCAAAGCTAGATTTTAAACACGATAACTATCTTTGCTTCTTCCGTTGCCCGAGCTCACCTCTTTTTCCTCCACTCTCATCATTCATACCCACATCCGGTTCGATATGTCCTCATAAGCCCCCTCCCTCCCTCAGCTAATTGATCTGCCTCCAAACAACCGTTCATCCATCACTCCTCTCTCACTCTCGGTATGAATACGGCCCAGTGAGTCGGGGATGCACATGCCCAGTAGGTGGCTCTTTTGTCACAGAGTAAACCTCCTAAACCTCCTCTGGTCTAGTCAGGTTAGACCACGATGTTTCAGGAGGTGTTGCAAACAGCACTGGGACAACGTCAGGGAAGGGCTGCAGCTCTAAATGTGCGACATGATGGCGGGGAGGAGGACAGCCAGGGCAGGTTGGATGGAGCTGGGTGACGACACAGAGCATGCTCAGCTCAGCACACACTCACAGAGAACAGAGAGAGAGGAGGATGGCAGCTCACTGAATTCATCCATCCATTTGAGCCGTCAGGCGATGTTGAATTCATTAAAGATTGTTTATATCCGCTTCTCAAAATCAGTTAAATTTCACTGTCGGGTTGTTGCTGAGAGGCCACGGCAGTTTTAACTTCACTGAGCCGCCATCACTCTTGTGGGTGAGAGCAGTAAAAGGGGGGAAGAAATACCTGCGGTGACACTATTCCAGTCTAGCAGTTTGTATGAGCGCGTGTTACCCAAGGCTGGGCCAGAACACACCGTTAGTACAGAAAAAGAGAGAAAAAGGAAAAGAAGAGATAGTCTAACAAACAAGCACAGCACAACAGCGGCACTCCACAGTCACTATGCAAAGACAAAATACAGTCGGGACGACTGAAACGATCTGAAAGAAGACTGATGATGAAAGGAAGGAGAATAGAGATGTTACAAAGCATAAGGACTCGCTAAAATTCTACGAATAAAGGAAAAGAGAATCTATATACAAAACAGAGCATGCAGTACAGGTCTACATCTGGCCACAGCTACCTTTTACACTTGAGCTTTTTATGTAAAAAAAAACATGGTTACATAATAATGCAATATGTGTAGAGCAACAGTCTGCAAAGCTCTGACAAGAAAAACAAACACTGCAATACACAAGAATGGCAGCTTGTCTAAATAATGGAAGAAAAACACATCAACCTTAATATTGGTGTTCAATCAATCTAAAGTGTTTGTTATTTACATGACGTAAATTTAAAATGCTCTGATCTAATACTTAGGGACATCTATTCAACTTAATAATCAAATAAATCTATTTAAAATAACAAAAATAAAACAAAATGGGAAGAATTTAAAAAAGTGACATGCTGAGTCAGAATCCTTCAGTTTTTTTTTGTCTCATTAAATACTTATTTTTATACAAATATATTCACATACTGAAGAAACTGATTTGTTTTCTAAAGAGACTATTTTTTTTAAAATTTGGTGAAATTAAACTAAAAATGACAAGCTCCATGCTACCAATTTTATATGAGATAAGCTTCTGCAAAGTCAGATTTTTTTTCCATCCAGTGTTGCATTAATTTTTCACCAAGATCTTACATTGATGATGGTAGAGTCTGACTGCTGCACAAAGGCTTCTGCAGCACATCTCAAAGATTCTCAGTGGACTCTGTGGAGCCAATCCATGTGTGAAAATGATGTCTCATGCTTCCTGAACCACTGTTTTACAATTCCAGCCCCATGAATCTTGGCATCGTCATCTTGGAAGATGCCCGTGCCGTCAGGGAAGAATCTTTTGATGGAATAACCTGGTCATTCAGTATATTCAGGTAGTCAGCTGACCTCATTCTTTGAGCACCTGAATCTAGACTTGACCAACTGCAGCAACCCCACATCATAGACCTTGGTAAAATCCAGGTGGACATTTTCTTTTGGCCAGGCAGTGTATTATTATCTTACTATTTTTATCAATGCTTTAGGCCACATTTGGAATTAGTGTGAAATAATCAAGAGTATGCACGGCATTCTGTGCATGGTTGCACAAAAAGTGATATTCACATTGTTGTTTAGTGTGACTTGTAGCTTAAAACGCTACAGGATATCTTTAATGACATTGTAATAAGATGGGAACTTTTCAGTCTAGTTCCAGGTTCAGTAAAAACTGATTTATTCAGCCTTCATAATTTAATAGGTTTATTAAAGAATGCTAAGAAATTAGATCATATTAGATATTAACTTTATGCTCTACTTCTTTCCAAAAACAGCCCTGTTTATCCTCAAAGCACACATTTATATAGATGGCTGGAGGACAAACTGACCCCAATTCCTTACTTAATTCAAAGTTATCCAAAATGAAAGGGGGATTAATAATGTCTTTATTTAAAGGAGACACATCATGCTTTAAAATCCTTGTTTTTCACATTTAATAATTTCAATCTCACATGTGGCCAGAGTCTGACCCAGAGCCAGAGGAGAATGAAGATGACAAAATGTTAGTTGGTAAATCCAGACTTTATTTGGCAGTTCCGATGCAATAATTTGGTGCCATAGTTAAAAAAATACATAGAAAATAGAGAAAACTGAACAGCTTGAAAAATATGGCTCAAGGAGAATATAATATGTACACAGCACCAAGAGACTACATTAAAATATTCTACATTTCTAGAGACTTCAAGTGCACAACAAAATGCATTTAATGGCTAAGTGGATTTTGAATGACGTGTCCCCTTTAAAAACCAAATCATTGTTTATTAATCCTCTTCTCATATGTTATGTTCTGTTGTTCATCTGATGTTGGTTTACTAAATTTTAAGACCTGGTAAAGACCAGATGATTTGCAAATATATATCTTGAAGCATAACACATCGAGATGTGTGCATATTTAATTTTATTGTGAATGTACGCAAATGAAAAAGCAAAAGCATTGATAGGCCTGTTGCGATAGTCAATAAAAAAATGAGGACGATAAGTTTCATTTTCCTGCTTGTTGGTTTACTTCGTCTCTCTCCCTCTGTGTGCTCCGCTGCACAGGGGCTCAGCTGACTCCTCCCCTCCTGTTTTCTTAGTGTGGGAGGAGTGAACTCTCGCGTTAGTGTGAGAGCTCGTAGCAATAACAAGCTGAAGAAACGTTTCAAAGCAGAACGCGGCTGCTGCAGTGTCGGTGCAATTGCAGAGCCTGAAATTCGCTGCGGGGAGACACAGGGAGAGAGAGAGAGCGAGAGAGTGAGGAGAAGAAGGGGTGGGGGCTGAAACTCCCTCAGACCCGCGACAAACTCGTCAAGACTTTACCTGTAGCTCCCAAAAATAACAGGAAACTTAAACGCACCATCTGTGTTTTAACAAAAAACCTGTAGCTGTCCCAACAACTCATGAGGAAAACTCCGAACAGTCTGATTTCCTCCCCTGCAGTGCTCTGCTTGTCTCCTCTGACTGTCCCCTCCTCACACACACGGACACGGTTGTTCTTCTATCCTCATGGGGACTTTGCATTGACTTTCATTCATTTACCAGTATTTTCCATTACCATTTGACCCTAAACCTAGCCTAAACTTTACATAGGATGTGAACGGGGCTTATGTCCCCATAAGAAAAAGTGGGTCCTCACCAGGCTGTGTAGTTTGCTTCATCTCTAAAGAGATGCTGCTCTTTAATATTGTTTATTTACAGTCTTAGTTGTGTGTGGTGTTTAATTTACATTTTGTTGTTCTTTGTTTTGTTTTTTTTATTCAAGTGCATTTTTTGTTAGAGACTGAGAGTCCACTTTGTTAAACATTCTTTTAAAAATCAAAGTTTATTGATTGACATTAAAATTTAATGATTGACACTTACATATTACGCTTTTATAGTTATTAGTTGTAAAATGGTCACCAGGCAATATTATCGCTTATCGCAATAATTTTTGAGACAATTAATCGCCCAGCAAAATTTGTTATCGTGACAGGCCTAAGCATTGAAAATGAAGTTCAACACAGAAACAGTCTGAATACAAAACATGGCACGTGACTTCACCATATTGCCACCTGCAGCCAACAGACTGGAGCCATGCACTACAACTGTACCATCAACAACCCACATCAACAACACAAGCACATACACATATCACCTAATCAGGAGAAACACATAGAAAGCCAGTCAAAAACAAGAGGTGAAAGTTGCCCCAGTCTATAAAGTGTGTGACACGTGAGATTATTTTGTCCCACCATTTATTTCCATTAAACTGTTCATTCATCAACGCAGGAGCAGCTTTCACCTGCTTCGGGGCTTGTCCATCTCTTTCTTTCAACATCTTTGTTCTCCAATCAGTCTAACGGAACCATACACAGAAAAACTGTGCAACACAAGAGGATAATGGGCAGCACTGACTACCAGCCTGTGTTGACAACACCAGACACTCACACGAGACACTCGGTTGGTGGAGGAGCGCACTCACATCCTTTCACAGGACAACAAACAGGCTACTGTACGTCTCCGTGTTTCCGAGTGCGCTCAACTCACCGGGGTTGTGGATGCGGTCCAGTAGTTTGACAGAGCGAGCACTGACCACTCCGCCAACATGAACCAGGAAACCGGGTGGAAAGGAGGTCAAGGTGAAGAAGGGGAACTCCTGCTGACAGAAAACAGCTCGGTCAGTTTTTGATTAAAAAAAAAAGAAAGAAAAACAAACTGACCTTTTCAACATAATTGGATAATCATATTTAACAAGATCCTCTGAATTATAAAGTAAGCTCTATGGTTTTAAATTTCTGGGTCATTTTTAGGACCACTAGGTAAACAAACCAAGAATGATTTCTGAAAACTATTTAAACCTCATATTTATTTAAAACTATACAAAGAACCAATTTCAGATTGATTTAAAATAAACTGCTTAATATTCAACATGGCTGAGTTAGAAATGGCACAGGCAGATCATTGAACAATTTAAGAATTATATTAAAATCTGATGATATTGCTTTGAGAATCACTGATTTAAAGTGTTCTCTACAGACTTATTAGAATAGATTGTTGCATTCCCAAATGAAAGCTTGCACTCTAACATGTAAAAACATAAGCAGTTTTAAAACCAAGGCCTTGTGGGTTATTTTAACCCAAGGGCAGCAGGAGAATGTTAAATATGATAAACTGTATATATATTTGGTTACTCAATCACAAAATATCCAACAGCCTCAACTCCTTAGTGTTTTGTTGGCATCAAATTTAATTTACAGAGTTTAAATGACTTTCCACTCATCATGTAATTTATTTATACTGTATTAACCACAACATACCAACAACGTCAAAAACAGAACTGTAGGTGTCGTGTGTGAACTTGTGTGACGATAGTGCTATGAGTGTGAACATGCAGTAAAAACATAAGTTTATGAATATAACCACGGTTCCTTGAAGGAATGGAACGAAGTACAACCCACAGTTGTATATGGGACACGCGCGCCTGGCTGAAGCCACCTCTAATCACGTCTTTAGACCGGTGATGTTGAACGTCGGGTGACAGGCTCCACCTTCACCATATAAGTTCGGAGTCACCAGCGTCATTACTCAGTTAGATACCGCCCTTCAC